TGCTCTATGTGGGACGTGGCCTCAGCATAGCCGGAGAAGCGGTGCGTCGGTGTGCGCCCAGGATCCGAACCTGGGCCGCCAGTAGCGGAGTGCGCGCACTTAACCGCTAAACCACTGGGCCAGCCCCTAACAGGATTTTAAGAGTGGCTTACTTGAGTGATCTGACTCAGGGTCTCCTGTGGCACTGTTGTCAAGCTGTCACCTGGAGATGCAGTCACTTGAAAGCTTGACTGGGGCTGAAAACATCACTTCTAAGGTGGCTCACTCACATGACTTTTGGCAGGAGGCCTCAGTTCCTCCCTGGCTGTTGGGAGTAGGCCTCATTTCTCCCCACATGGGCCTCTCCAGAGCACTGCTTGATACGTCCTCATGACAGGGCAGCTGGTTTACTCGAGTGGATGATCCAAGAGGAGGAGCAAGGAGGAAGTCATGATGCCTTTTATGAACTATAGACATACCTCCACCTCCACCATATTCTAATCATTAAAAGCCAGTTACTAAGTCCAGCCCACGCTCAAGAGGAGGGGAATTAGCCACTAGTCTTTGAAGGAAAGAGCATCAAAGAATTTGTAGTCTTATTTTAAAACCACCACAGGAATACTGAGTTTTTTCCCTAAGATAAACTCCTACAAGTGAAATTACTTGGTCAAAGGAAGCATACATTTAAATTTTAGATATCAAACTGCCCTTCAAGAGGGTTGTAAAAATGTATACCTCCTCAAAAAGGAAGAAACTGTTTCTGTAGCAACCACCAGTATAAACATTTGTATCCAAAGATTTTATATATTCCTATTCTCTTACAAATGGGCCACTCTGTCTTCATTTTATTTGATCAGTCTGTAACATTTAACATAGTTAATTACCCACTCTTCTACATAACACTTCCCTCACTAGCCTTATAAGGCTGAATGCTGTCGTCGCTTTCCTTGTAACACACTGGGCTCTCCTTTCCAACCTTCCCTCCTGGTTCTTCCTCATCTCCTTCAATTCTAAACACTGAAGTGTCCTGAAGATCAGTCCTTGGTCCTCTAACTACACTCATTCCCTTCGCCGGATCACATTCAACCTCATGGATTGATTTAAATACCATATCTCCACTTGGATGTCTAAGGAGCATCTAAAAACATCTAAAGCTGAATTAAAATTCAAAATCTGGTCTTTCCACAGTGTTACCTTATTTCAACTCAGCAAATGGCAAGTCCACCTTTCCAGTTGCTCAAACCAAATCCTTGCTTTTTTTGTTACACCCCAACTCTCCTTTTAGATTTCTGCTCAAGTCAGATCCTGCCTCCTACCACCATTCCCTATACTCTTAGTTTGCCTTTCTTTAAAAAATATCATGTCTCAATATCTGAAATTAGAGTATACAGTTCTTTATTTGATCACTGTCTCCCCACCAGATACTGGCTGAGGGCAGGAACTTAGCTGGTTCATTAGGGTATCTCCAGCATCTAGAGTAGTGTTTTTTGTTGTTGTTGGCATAGTGGCCACTCAGTAATTATTTGCTCAATAAATGAATGAGTTGTACAGGTAATACATAGATACTATAATTGAAAACCAGGCTGATGAGGTGGCAAAGCCAATAAACTTGGAGATAAAATATACAGGGCTGGGGCCTCAGCACAGCTATGCAGCTTAAGGCAACTTACCCTTCAAAGCCGATTTCCTCATCTATAAAATGGGGTTTAAGCCATATTCCTTAGCAAACAAGACAGTCAAAATGGTCAGTATCTATCTGGTATTACAATACACAGAAGTCTTACTACCTGCAACTTCTAGGAACATTTGCTTCAATTCTGCTCTTAATTTCACTTGCTCACGTATAAAACAATTTGGGTGTACATTTTCCAAGGCTCTTATATTACGCTGTATCTATAAAATGTCCACTTGTGCAAAATTTGAGAATAAAGGCAATTACCAGGGGGAAAAAAATGGCCAAAGATTTTCTAATTCCATTATGGTGACGTTTGCACAACTCTGTAAATATGTTAAAAATCACTGAATTGTACACTTAAAACAGGTGAATTCTGTGGTATGTAAATGACATCTCAAAAAAACTATTAATAAAAAACAGAGATTCTCTCATTCCATATATGGGGCTCCCGTAAGATATCATCAGAATTTAGGAATAAAGCAAAAGCCATCTACCAAAACCCAAAAGTAAAAAATGAAGCAAGTTCAACAGATGAGCTCTGCCATCTATTAGACCATCCTAAAAAATAGTTTATAAAAGAACCCAGATGTTTAGTCAAGTCCAAAGTGACCTGAACAACTTATTTTCAGAATTGTATTGTAATCTATGCGCAGTAAGAACGGCCAGGTTCTTAGAACAGAGAAAGCAAACTCATGGGACTCGGAAACTTGCAGGACCAGTCCTCACAAACATCCCAGCTCCCTCCATCCTCCTGTCCCGCTCCCCAAGCAAACGCCCAATCGCACTTCTTCTCCAGAGCGGACGCCTCCAGGGAGAAGTGTCGGCCCTTGTGGGTCGCTTGGCATCTAGTTTATGTCAGGCCCGCGTCAGTTCTCCAACCCCAGATCTGCGTGGGGGACCTGACAAAATCTTGCAAAGCTGACGACCCTGCCTGCACCGGCCCACCCCGGGGTTACCCCCGACACTGGGGGAGCCACGCGGCGCTCCAGCTCGGCGGGACCCAAAACAGCGGGCTGGGCTTCAACCCTGGCCGAGCATCAGGGTCACCTGAGGATATCTTTAGAAACAGTTACTGGCGCCACCCAGACCCTCCGACTCGGAATCGGGGTGGGGTCCCCGACATCAGTCTGACGGCGCAGGTCGAGAACGCCGGAAGCCGCCCCCGCTCTGCAGGTTTACCCTCTGCGGGCCGGCCCGGCGCCCACCAAGCTCCTCGCGCGGGAGCCGGGCCTCAACTCTCCCGGGGAAGCCCCGAGGCCTCAGCCCGGGAGACGAGCGCCCAGCTCCGGGGCGGGTCCTGGAGACGCGCCTGCCTCCCGCGCCCGCCAAACTGCTCCCGCAAGACCCCCTCTTCCGGGCCCGCCCCTGCTCCGCCAGCGAAGGGCTGGAATCCAGGCCCGACCCCTCCTCACCGGGTCCCCGCCCCACACGAAGACGCGATCCTCAACGGCTCCTTCCCCAGCCAATCATCTCCGACAGCCAGTCCTAACCGAGTTCTACTCCACGTCTTCGCCCTCTTGGGTCTGCAGCGACACACAACATCCCCGCCCCGGCAGTTAACTGTCTCCGAGGTCTCTGCCCCTTCCCCCGCAGGGCTGCGCATGCGCAGCCACGTTCGGCGGAGCGCAGACGCAGTAGTGCAGCCTCGAAACTGTCGGGAAGCGGGAGTGCTGTGTTGTCTCGCGCGCCTGCGGGCGGCGGCGGGAGGAGACGCCGTTTAGTTGCGTCCACGGTGGAATCCTGAATAGGGAGATGGTCTCGGTAAAAGCAGCTCCGTTTGTGGCTAGAGTGTGTTAGACCACGGGCGAGGGTTCCGAGTAGAGTGTGCAGGTCCTAATGGTCCCTCTTTGCTGAAGGGGCACTCGTAGGGGAACGGCAGAGTCCGTTACGCGGGGAGAGCGGAGGTTGATCTCAGCCCTTCGCGCCTAAAGACAGGCGCTTTGCAGCTGAGGAAACGTCCCCTGGCTGAAAGTGCGTGGTGGCTCTGCCTAGTGGCTCCTGTCCTCTGGCCACAAGCTCCATTAATTTGACCGGAAGACGTTTCTACCAGAGTAGTTGGGGCTGACTGGAACCCCAGAGTCGTCTTCTGACCATTTCCTCTCTAATTTTGAGATAAAACTTGAGTTCAGCCTGGGACTTGACCAAGGGTTACACGGCTTGTCAGTGACAGATGTTCAGCCAGAATTAAGGTCTCCTTATAGGCATTGCTTTTCCCACAGTGTTAAGAGGAGCCCATGCTAAGTGGAGCCCCATAAGTTTACCATTTTTACTCAAACTCATGCTTTCCTCTATGTGCCATCTCCCCAGTCTTGGACCTCGAGTCACTTTCTAGTTTGGCCCCTGAGGAAATTCTGCATTCCAGTTGACTCTTCTTGTCCCACCCCTGAAGGAGATCTGATTGCTCAGCTAGTGGATCCGGTTGTCATACTTACTCTACTTTTGGTCATTTGAGTAGTTCCCATTTTGGGGCCGCTATGAACAATGCTGCCATAAATAATTTTGTAAATGTCTTTTTGCAGAATATATATACACATTTTTGTTAGGTACATACGTAGGAGTGGAATTGCCAGTTCATAAGTCATGCATGTGTTCAATTTTAGTAGATGTGAAACTGGTAGGCAGAATAATGGCTCCCCCAATTGCTGTCCAGTGTTGAAACTATAAACTACTTGGAATTGAGTTCAAGTGTTGTCTTGACAACTGTCAGGTATCACTGTTTCCCTGTAAAATTTGGAATACTCCATGGCATGCTGAGATTCCTGCAGTGCACCAGGGTGCCTTGGCACACAGTTTGAGAACCATGGCTGTGACCATTCAGAAAGTGAGTGATTCTCATTTTTCCCTTAGGTGAGTATTCAAGATAATCATTTTCTTCCAAAGTGCTACTTCTGTAAAAATAAAATTTACCTCTGTAAAAAGAAAATAAAAAACACGATACTGTCTATTGCACATTTATAAGAATTCTTAATGACTTTCTTACCCTTTCAACATTTCATATCTGATTTTCACACTCTCATTTAATCAAATACATAAGATAGATTCAAATTATAGAATACAACTTTATCTGGATTTGTAAGGGTGTACCCAATAAATTGTTCATTCTAGAAACAGGCTGTTAACTATAGATATAAATATTCCAACTAAGAATACAAGTTCTGATTAACATCTTGCTTAAAGTACAGTTAATAATAAATATAATTAGATAATATTATATATTACAAGTAACAATCCAGACTTGACCATAAATATATGAATAGAACAAGATGATGACAAAGAAAAGTTAAATGCCGAACATCAAAGGAGAGAACAGATTCAAGTGAAAATTTTCCAATGCATTTTATTCATAACATAGCCATGTTCAAAATGCTGAAGGAAATGTCCATATCTGCTGAGTTCTTGTTGACAGCAATGAAAAGGCAGAACTTTTTTATTCATTATGCTGTCCAGTCTCACAACCAGAAGTAATCTTTGATTTGTTAGGTGCTTCATAAACTTGTACAATAAGCCTTAGATGATTGATGATTTTCTTGTCTGCTGTTTTCATGTTAAATCCCAAGATCTTCTTAATAGTTTCTCGAAAGTCAACAAGCTACAAAGAACCACCACAAAAATCAAGACGTCATTAGTTGTGGTTACCTGCTTACTATGTACAATGAATTTGGTATTAGAAATTTAGTCTTATTAAACGTTTCTTTATGAAATGTAACATATTCTACATTCAAATAGTATGTTTAAGCTAGAAAAATGGTCTCTTCTATTACAAGAACTTTGTAAAATTTCCTTTTCATTTTAGTATTTTTTCTTATTTTTGCACTTTATAGACTTAACCTAATTTTATTGCTGATTGTTTTTCATCCATAAGGTAATTCCTTTTTGGAGTTCTGAGGTGCTGTATGGTAATAGTAGTCCTAAATACATATCTCTACACACATCCTCCAAAAACCAAAGTGATCAACAAGGAAAGCAGATAAAACCACCCATAAATCATGCCTGAAGCATAAATAGAGAATACCACAGACTTCAGTTTGCATATAAGTGGAGAAATAAATATCCTAAACCAGCAGGGGTAGCTCCAGAGCCCACGCTGGAGGATGCAGCTGGTTTCCACTGGTGTCCCAAAAACAGGACTGTGCATAGATGGGAAAATACTAAGAACAAGTCTGAGACCTGGTGGATCAGAACACTGGCACGTGAGGAAGGAGAAGAAACGGGCTTGGAAGAATATGAGACAAGAAATGGCAGTTCCAGAGGGCAAGGTTTATGAGGGAGGGGAAGTATTTGGAAGGGTGAGGTGTTCCTTGGAGGCTTGGCAATAGAGGAAAAGAAAACAGCAAAAAGTGGAAAATAAGGGACTTCTATAAATAAGAGAGTATTGCAGAATCAGACATCGCATAAACCCTACTCCAGCATAAAGGTCTCGATGTAGTGAACTTCAGAAACTGCACTCACTGTGCCAGCAGAAGAGGGTGGTATTGAGTTAAGAAACCTAGTAAGTAAACTCTGCCCCCAACCACCCTAAACTAGAAACACCTGAAATTGAGAGGGCAGGGCAAGTAAGGGGATTTTAAAGTGAATAGATAAATGGCAAATAATATCCATATGAAATTAGGAAGAAAATAGGCAGTATCATCTAAAGTGTTCAGGTGATGAAAATACTCCTCCCAAAAACCAGCCATGAAGCAGAGGAAACAGGTTTGACACAACTCCTGATATAAATTAAATATCAACAAGGATTTGCAGACATGGGGGAACAAACAACTTTCTTTTGAATCAAAAATGTCATAATTCAGAATAGAAATGGACAAAAAAAGATGTCTAAGATGCCTCATGGATAAGGAAGATGTCATGATTGAACTCAGGCGAGAAGATGACAAAATCATCTCAGAAATGTGGAGTCAACTACAGAGTGCCCGAAGGAGAAAAGATCTGACTGAAAAGAGCATAAGGGACACTGAGGAGAAGAAAAACAATCAAGAATATGAATATGCATAAGTTAAAAAAGAGAAAAAATGATAATACCATGACTATGTTTCAAGAATCTCTTAAGGTAATTGGTTAGTCTCTTAAAATATCTGCTTTATAAATATAGTGAAAATCTAAGCAAATTTAGAAGCACTACCCTCTTGTCCTAGAAAGTGACTCAGCACCAAACACATGGTTTCCCCTGACCTTCCATTGTCTCACATCCCTACCCTCCTTGTCATTGGTTAGTCAGAGGATTGTACGCAAACCCAAGCTAGGATAAGCATATATCTCAGCCTCACCACTGTGGATTCAAATATGCATTTGACCTAAGCTGGGCTTATAAGACCTTTTCTTGGATTCTGTCTCCTGTCACAAGCTCTACATATAAAACTCCGTGGCTGTCAATCAGACAGACAAGCTGACACACACAAATGCCAAGAAGAGATGAGGCCTTAGAGGTTCCAGGTGCTGATCCTGGGGCCCAGGTGCCTCTCTGCCCTCCCAGAGGTCGGGTTGTTTCACTTAACCTTTGATTTCTTAAGCCAATAAATTCCCTTTTGTCTAAGTTAGGTAGAATCTCAGTTGAGGTAGGTGTTTATCACTTCAACTTAAAGAATCTTAATATAGTAATTAAAAATAAAACCTCTTGTTGTCCTGATACTTCTTCAGATGTGCTCTTTGCTGTGCAGAGCTCAGGAGGGACAGCATCTAACACCTGATGGGCCCTCTCTCTGTCCCATCTTGTGTCTTGCTCAGCAGAGTCTAATGTCGGTTTCAACTTGTCTGTTTTCATAACTGCCTTCCCTTGCATTGCTTCAACTTGTGTTAAAGATTGCCTGAGCTTTTCAATTGTTTTGTCCTGTAAAGGTATAAGGTTGGGGAAAAGGGAGGCGATGGCTGTGGTTAGATCTCTTCTAAATAACAGGTGTGATGCAGGATAACTCCTGCTTCTTTTTCTCCCTTTTCTTTTTTTTCTTAGAACTAGATACATGGAAAATAAAGAAAATTCAACAATTTATGAATTAAGAGGACATTTCTGCACCATCATACTCATCAATAACCAACGTTCACTGAGCACTTTTATGAACTAGGCACCTGGGATTTAAAGAGGTTTAACGCGTGTTCCATGTCCTCAAAAGTCTTACAGTCTGTGCTAATCAAATACAGAAATAGAGAAAATAACTGGCTCTCTGGTAAGAGAAATATTGCTGCTAAAATGGCAAAAAAAGTTGATTAACAAGTAGTTAGTGCACCTTTGGCTTAAGGCATAAAATTTATGTTTCAAATACTACAACTGAAGCTTGATATGGAGAAGGTCCAAAAAGGAGCCCAAAAAGTGACTAAAACTTTTAACTATTACCTCAATAAGAAAAACAAAGGTAAAACTAAAACAAAGAGCAAGGGATCTAGAGCCCTAACATTTAGAATACCAGTTACCTTTGAGGACTAGGGAGGAGGATACATGGGGGTTTCAGGGGGATTGATGATACTCTGTTTCTTAAGATAAGAAAGGCAGATTTGCAGGAATCCAACTTTATTATTTTACATGCTTTAATTTTATTATATTCTTTGGTATGTATGTAAAATAACTTTAATGTTAATTTTTCTTTTAAGTTCAATGAGAAACATGCAGCTAAAATAGTAACAGACCAAAGCTTAAGTGAATTTTTGAAAGTCTCATTTTCTTTACTTACTTTAAGGACATTTACTCTTGTCAGTTGAGTTTTCATATTTTTATTTGACAATTTCAAATCACTGAGCTGTTTCTGAAGTTTCTGAATTTTCTCTTCTAATCTTTGAGTTGTAGCAATCTGCAAATTCTGCTGAATATTCAATAATATTTGTTGTTTGTCTTTCTCTAGCTGTTTGAACATCTTGCCATATTCGTCTGTCTGGGAATTCTTAGTCCTGGAGTTTTCCTTTGCAGAAATCAACAGTATTGAAATAAAGAAGTTATGCTTTAGGATGGTGTTCTACACTAGCATCCCAGATCTACTCTAGACTGATAAATTGTAGAATTAATAATACTGACATAAGTAAAATATTTTTTCACCATAAATATGTATTATTAAAATAATGCAGAAAATAAAATATAACAATAAAAGTGAAGGCTTAATGCTAACAAGGGTATGGTTAAGTAGACAATTTTATAAACACTAGGCGATAGCACAGATTAGTTCAACTTTTCTAGGAATGTATAAGGAAATAATAAAATATTTAGATAAAGACTCAAGCACAAAGATATTCTTTACAACATTATTCATAACATAAAAGAAACAATGCAAATGTCAAAAAAAGAATAATTAAATAAATTACATATGATTGATTATACATTCCCTAGAAATCAAGTTTTCAAAAATATTTACTAAGAGAAAATGCTAATGATATATTTATTTTATTGTTTTTTCTTTTTTTTATTGAGGTAACATTGGTTTATATAAATTTCAGGTGTACATAATTATATTTCTATTTCTGTATAGATTACATCATGTTCACCACCCAAAGACTAATTACCATCCATCACTACACACATGTGCGTAATCACCCCTTTTGCCCTTCTCCGTTTCCCCTTCCCCACTGGTGACCACTAATGATATATTTAAATGAAAGAAGCAAGATGAAGAAAAACTATGCCTATCTCAATTATGTTAAACTATTCATGGAAAATAATCAGGAGGAAATATACCTATATATTGTTGACATATACAAATATATCAATAAATATGGCAATATACCTATATTAACACGAGTTATATCAAAGTGGTAGAATTATTGGTGATTTTAATTGTATTCTTTCTACTATTCTGTACTTTGTAAAGTTACTACCAGAAAAAAAAAAAAAGTGAGAAAGAAGGGATGTAGATTTAATAAAGATACCACATATTTTCATTATATATAAACTAAAAACTAGAAAATGTATATAAAAAAAGAACCACTGGTTCTTTGGAAAAATAAAATAGATGCCCCAGGGAAACCTGGTTAAAGAGGAAAGAAAAAGTGAAAATACACAATGTTAGGAAAGAGAAACATACAGAACTAATGCTCATAAATTAATTTTATTATGAGAAAAAATAGCTACTTAAAATGTTGTTACAAATGTTTTAATCCATTAAAAGAAACAAAACAAGTAACATATTAAGGAACAAGAATCAGAATGGCACCATTTTTCTCAATAACAACATTGGAAATTAGAAGACAATGGAGTAATGCCTTCAAATCTCTGTGTGAAAATAAAGTCTAAACCCAACTATCAATTGAGTATGAGCATTAAAGAAAAAAAAGACTCTGTCATTCATGCAAGGATTTAAAAAAAATGTTTCTCTCCAAGACAACATTTTTTAGGAATTTATTAGAGGATGTACTCCAGCAAAATAAGAAAGTAAGCCAAAAAAGAAATGGGAAATATGCTATTCACAATGGGTAGGAAATACACTATTCACAATGGGTGGGAAATAGGTATAAAAGACCAAAAAAGAATGTATTTTACAAAGAAGACTTATATGAAGGACTTACAGGCCTTATATGAAGAACATTATATAATCCTTTTGAAATACATAAAATAAGATCTGCTAAAGGGAAAGAGGACATGCACCAAATTATCAAAAATTATCAATCACTAAATTTATAAATACTTAAATTATAGGTATCTGAAACAGTGGGATATATCAATAATCTCACTTTAAACACATATTTTGAAATATTGAGAATTCAAAAAATAGTTTTAATTTGTCAAGAATCATATCATTACAAAGCTGACTGAGTAAATTGTAAACAGTATTTACAAATTTCTACTTTGAAAGGTATAAAATTTACATTGAACAATTCAACTCATACAGTGTAATCATTAACCTAGTTTATTTTTCTCCTCTGTTGTTCCTTTAAATGTATTCTGTGGGACTAAGTCTTCATTTGCCGCTACATTAAATTAGGGCAAGTCTATGTTTTTCCTGATCACTTTCAGTTTAATGTAAAAATTATAACCTTATCTTCACTGAAAATTATGGCTACTCAATAGACAAGGGATGACATTAACAGGTCAAGAAATTATAAAGTAAAAACAACCAAGTATAAATATTAGATACAATAAATATAACAGTTGAAATGAACAACACAATAGATGAGATAAATAGCATGGATAATGCTGCAGAACAAATTGAGTGAGTTAGAAAATCAGATTAAGAAACTCTCATAGGGCTGGCCCCGTGGCTTAGCGGTTAAGTGCGTGCGCTCCGCTACTGGCGGCCCAGGTTCGGATCCCAGGTGCGGACTGACACACTGCTTCTCCGGCCATGCTGAGGCCACATCCCACATACAGCAACTAGAAGGATGTGCAACTATGACATACAACTATCTACTGGGGCTTTGGGGAAAAAAAAAAGGAGGAGGATTGGCGATGGATGTTAGCTCAGGGCTGATCTTCCTCACAAAAAGAAGAAAAAAGAAAAAGAAACTCTCATAGAAGGCAGCAGGAAAGGATAACAAGATATAAACTATTTGTGCGTGTGTGTGTGTGTGAGGAAGATCAGCCCTGAGCTAACATCCATGCCAATCCTCCTCTTTTTTTTTGCTGAGGAAGATTGGCCTTGAGCTAACATCCATGACCTTCTCCCTCCACTTTATGTGGGACGCTGCCACAGCATGGCCTGACAAGCAGTGCATCGGTGCACACCTGGGATCCAAACCCCGGCTGCCAGCAGCGAAGCTAGCGCACTTCACTGCTACGCCATGGGGCTGGCCCCAAGACATAAACTATTAAAAAAAAAAAGCAAAATGTGTTAGCGTTCCCCAGGGAGACAGTACCAATAGGGTGTGTGTGTGTGTAGAGATAGAGAGAGAGAGATTTGGCTAACACGGTTGTGGGGGCTGGCAAGCTTGATATTTGCAGGGCAGGCCAGCAGGCTAGAGACCCAGGGAAGAGTTGGTGTTGCAGCTCAAGTCCGAAGGCAGTCTGGAGGTAGAATCCCTCTTCCTCAGGGGACTCAGTCTTTTCTCTTAAGGCCTTCAACTGATTGGATGAGGCCCACTCACATTATGGAGGATAATCTGCTTTACTCAAAGTCTTCTGATTTAAGTATTAATCACATCTAAAATGCAACATCTAGACTGGTGTTTGACCAAACATCTGGGCACCATAGCCTAGCCAAGTTGACACATAAGATTAACCATCACACAAAGAAATGAACGATAGAATTAGAATTGCCAACCTTCCAATAAGAAGAGAGGGTAGAAAAAGAAGAGAAGACCAAAAAAAAAGAGAAAGAAATCAAAAGAAAATAAATGGATAGGGAAAATATTGAAATAATAATGATAAAATTGACAAATGAAAGAATCAGATTCAAAAGTTTATAAAGTACCAAACGAGAGAGATAAGGAAAAACAATACAGCTAAGCACATTATGGTGAAATTTAAGAACATCAAAGCAAATGAGAAAATTCTAAAAGCTTCCTGAGAGAAAGAGCAGATCACTTACAAAGAGATAAGAATCACATTGATATCAGACTTCTCAACAGTAACAGGGGATGCAAGGAGATATTTTTATGTTTTTTATTTTTTATTTGTGTGTGTGTGTGTGTGTGTGTGTGTGTGTGAGGAAGATCAGCCCTGAGCTAACATCCATGCCAATCCTCCTCTCTTTGCTGAGGAAGACTGGCCCTGAGCTAACATCTGTGCCCATCTTCCTCCACTGTATATGGGATGCCGCCACAGCATGGCCTGACAAGCAGTGCATCGGTGCACACCCAGGATCCGAACCCAGGCCACCAGCAGCAGAGCACGCGCGCTTAACCACTATGTCACGGGGCTCACCCCAAGGAGATATTTTTAAAGGACTTAATGAAGGAACTTTGAACCTAGGAGTTTATATCCAGCCAAAGTGTCATTCAAAGATGAGGGCATAATAAAAACATTATCAGGCACATGTGGTGTCAGAATGTTTGCCACGCAAAGATCCAATTTTTTAAAACTCTCTTATAGAAATAGTCAAATAAGAAGAAAAATGCAGAAGGATCCTTTAAGAGATATGCGACTAAGGGTGATCAAATACTTTGGTCAAGTTTACTGGTTGTCTAAAAAAAATTAGGACCAAGTAAAAGAAAACAGATAAAAGATATATCAGGCAAACATAAACCAAAAGAAAATTCCATTAGTAACCATGATGTCTAAAAATGAGAATTTATGGGCCAGCCCGGTGGTGTAGCGGTTAAGTTCGCACACTCTACTTCGGTGGCCCGGGGTTCGCTGGTCTGAATCCTGGGCGCGGACCTGCGCACCACTCATCAAGCCATGCTGAGGTGGCGTCCCACATAGAGCAACTAGAAGGAGGTACAACTATGACATACAACTATCTACTGGGACTTTGGTGAGAAAAAAAGGAAAAAAGGAGGAAGATGGGCAACAGATGTTAGCTCAGGGCCAATCTCCCTCAAAAAACAAAATAAATAAAAATGAGAATTTAAGGCAACATTTTATAAAGGACAAAAAAAGAATGTTTTATAGTTCTTAAAAGAGCAAGAAAGCAAAAGTCATCATAAGTGCATATGCTCCAGTAATCTATAAAGCAAAACCTGACAGAACTGCAGGGACAAATGGATGAATCAAAAATTATACTTGGAGAATTTAGAATACTTTTTTCAGAATGAAGCAAACAAAAATAATCAGAGATACTGACAATCCAAACCATATGACTAATATGCTTGAGCATCAGCTCTCCATGGAACTGTACACCCAACAAATAGAGAACACATTCTTTATAAGCGCAGATGGAACAGTTACCAAAATAGACTACGTGTTAACTGATGTGGGAAGCCTCAATAAATTCTCAAGGATCATATCATACTTCTACCATGTTGTAATAAAATACAAATTTTTAAAATTCCCATACATTTGGAAACTTAAAAATGTATTCTTATATTTAAAATTAAAGATAAAGAAAGCAGTATGTGTCAATATTTGTGAAACAAACCTAAAGTAGTTCTTGACAGAATAATTATGGTTTAAATAAGCGCCTTTATTGGGTACTTGAAAGGTTAACCATAAACCAGTTGCTCTTATTCTTCCTCTTCCTATTCTTTTTCTTTTCCTTCGTGTTCCTTTCTGAACAGTTAGTCCTAAGGCCATAAGGTGGGCAGAACAAGGTAGGCATCTGCGCCAGAATGAGACGGGAACTGCTGTGGTCCACAGCAGCCTACAGAGCCCAAACAGGATGACAAAAGTGTCCGCAGAGGGTTGCCCTGCAGAGGGACTCGGAGCCCTACCAGGGTGAGGCGAGAGCCCATGTGGAGAGGTGACCTGTCATAAGAGTTTTAGAGCCTGAACATGGCAAGGAAGATGTGCACACTGTACTGGAAATCAACAAGAACGAGATAGGAACCCAAATAGGAATATGGGCAAAGGAAAGCAGCAAAGACTAAAAAGCCAAAAGACTAAAAAACAAAGGAAATGCTCTAACTTATTACTAATTAGAGAAAGGCAAATTAAATTAGCAATCACTTTATACCTAATGCAATGACAAAAATTAGGAAGCTGGTTAATGTCAAGAATGTGGAGATTCAGGAACCCTCATGTATCTATGGTGGGACTATTGATCTGTAAGAACTGTCTGGCAGTACTTAGTCAAATTAAGTGTAGGAATATTCTATGAGCCACCAATTCCAATCTTGAGTAAACATCCCTATGAAATTCTCTCACAGGTCCCTAAGGGGACTTGTACGAGAATGCTCGGAGCAGTGTTGTTTGTGGTGGCAGAAAGATGGAGGTAACCGGAGTATTCATCACTAGAGGAGTGGACAGCCAAAACATGGCAGTTATGTACCCTGTAGAACTCCATGCAGTAGATAGAAGCAATGAACTAGATGAACAAATAGCAATATTAAATGGATCTTAAAAATATAATGCTGGGCCGGCCCCGTGGCTTAGCGGTTAAGGGCGTGCGCTCCGATGCAGGCGGCCCAGGTTCGGATCCCAGGTGCGCACAGACGCACTGCTTCTCCGGCCATGCTGAGGCCGCGTCCCACATACAGCAACTAGAAGAATGTGCAACTACGACATACAACTATCTACTGGGGCTTTCAGGGAAAAATAAATAAAGAAATAAAATTATAAAAATATATATATATAATGCTGATTAATAGCATGAGATTTTAAACACAATCCATTTATGCAAATTTAAAATATACGCACAAAAATCATATTTAAAAGAACACATATAAACAAAAAGATACACATTAAACACATTATATTGATTTCCTTTGGGGGAGGGAATGGGAAAAAGAGCCAAAAAGGAGGAAATAAATAAGAGAGGGAACTTCCATGGCCCAAGATAATGTGTTATGAACCATAGAGTCTGATTAATTCAACCTTCTGCTTCTGAGGTCCAAATTGCGAGGAGTAGGAAGGCAAGGGAATCCAAGTGGTCAATAGCATTTAGAAAAAGAAAGATGCTCAGCTTTACGAGTAGTCAGGGAAATATGAAAATTGTACCATTTTAACCCAACTCACACACACACACACACACACACACACACACACACACACACACACACAGTAAAAGAATGACAGCATCCAATGCTGGCTAGGATGTGAAGAGGAAACAGGCACTCTTATACATTATTAGTTGGAAAGTGAAGTCCTTCTACCTTTTGGAAAGTAGTATTCTGGCAATGGCTGTTAAAATTTAAAATACTCATATAATGTGATACTGTAATTCCATATTTAAAACTCAATTCCATAGGGGAAGAAAGCACCAGTGCAGAAAGATATATGTATAAACATACTTATTGTAGCATTATTTGTAGTGGCATTAAAAATGGAAATAACTTGATAGTCCATCAATAAGGAACTGGTCAAATAAGTTATTTACACACTATGAAAAACTATGCAGCTATTAAAGGAATAAGTTAAATTTATATCTTTTGATCTAAGGAAAGACCATGAGGTACTTACTTCTTACTAAGTAATAAGAATATTTTGACTAGTATAGTCCCAGTTTTGTAAAAATACCACCACCCACATATATGTACTTGTATATTTCCATAACCACGGCAATACTTGTAGAAGATATATACACATTGGTTACTGAGGTGCAAAAGGCAGAAAGAGAGTTGGGAAAGATTATTATTGTTTTTATCAAACCTTTTAACATGGTTTCAAGTATTGTGGAAAGCATGTGTTATTTGTATATTCTTAAAATTTAATATAACATTTAAAAAAATTTTGCATGGAAATGATCATCATCAATCACATATTCAAGAGCAGAGATAAAAGCTGGATTCATCTTTGGACTCTGTAGAGGACATCGTTGATACACTTCATTCAGAGCTGGAAGTTTTTTTTTTTTATGTTTTCTTTTTTTTTTTTATAATTTTATTTATTTATTTATTTTTCCCCCCAAAGCCCCAGTAGATAGTTGTATGTCATAGCTGTACATCCTTCTAGTTGCTGTATGTGGGACGCGGCCTCAGCATGGCCGGAGAAGCGGTGCGTCGGTGCGCGCCCGGGATCCGAACCCGGGCCGCCAGTAGCGCAGCGCACACACTTAACCACTAAGCCACGGGGCCGGCCCAGAGCTGGAAGTTTTTAAAACTGAGTGCTCAATACATGTTGGATGAATGAATGAATGAATGGAATGAGACACTAAATGAGTGAGTGGTGAGTGAGTGAATGAGATTACGTTTTGGGCCACAGCAATTATAGAAATAGTATAACGTAGGATGGCATATGACAAGCAATTCTGTGAAGCGGTAGTGAAATAGAATCAAAATCTCCTGAAAGTAAATTATATCGCATGCTACCTACTTCCATCGCACTTTTAGGATTGAGTTTTTCCTTATAGATTCAGAGAAGCAGAAAGTAGAGAAGGTAATGGTATATTGTATACTAATCGTTGAGAAATATCATCAATGGCCCCTTCCCAACACCCATATCTAGCTGACACAGTGCCTGAAATTCCACCTGTAGAGAGTCATTCGTTTGAGCTCCTTTCCCTCTAATACTGTTTTTAAAGTACATTAAGAAATATGTTAACAAATGCCCTCACAATAAATATCAAATATTGTGTACAATAGAGAAATGGAAGACAGGAAGTAAGAAGAGGCTTTTGGATAAAATCAGAAGGTTTAAGGGTTTGTAGGAAATTTTCCTTCCTTTTCTAACATTAAGAAAAGTATAAATAGTATTAACAGCTTTAAACATTAGATAATATAATAAAATATGATTATTTTCATTGTCAAAGCAATGCCTTATACTTCAGGAAATTCTTACTTTCTTCCTGTCCAAGTCAAATCTCCCTTGAAAAAAGTCTTTAAGAGCAATTTTTCCTTCCAGATGTTTCAAGGATTTTTTTTGCTCCTTACACTTTTCTTCAGTTTGGGATGATTCTTGAGCAGCGTCTTCACAGTGCTGATGCAGCTGCTCCAGCCGCTGAGTGAGCATCTGAATTTCCTGCTGAAGGCCTTCCGTCCTCTGCAGGGAAAAAAAACAGATCAAACTTCCTGATGGTCTATGATTTCCATTTCATTTCACACTATGGGCAAGTTCTACTTATACTGACATTGTAGTGACAATAAATTACTACATAGATGAATAGGGAAGTCTTTTAAGAAGATTTGACATGTATAAGCTGGTTTTAAAAAAAGAAATAGAAAGATCTGATATACAAAAATAAGACATTTTAGTACTGAGAAATAAAATTGTATAATTAATTTTAAGAGAGCAAAGCGGGGCCGGCCCCGTGGCTTGGTGGTTAAGTGAGCGCGCTCCAGTGCTGGCGACCCGGGTTCGGATCCCGGGCTCTCACCGACGTGCTGCTTCTCCGGCCATGCTGAGACCGCGTCCCACATACAGCAACTAGAAGGATGTGCAGCTATGACATACAACTATCTACTGGGGCTTTGGGGGAAAAAATAAATAAATAAAATCTTTAAGAGAGCAAAATGTAAGAAAAATTGGAAGTCTACAATAAACAAACTACTGTGTAGCAGGTTTTAGTAATATATTGAATTTAAGCCATACATATCTTCATTTGAATTTTAGGGTGAAGAGTCATGAAATTTTACTAAAATGATTTGGACACAAGAAGAGATACCCACTTAAACTTGCTGGTTCAATCTTTTGATTGACTTGACCAGGAAATTCAAACAAATAACTGATTTGATGATTTATTTTACTACACTGACTTAACTGAGTGGTGTTTGGTCATGATGGAAAGATTTTCTTCACCATACCACTATTTTTAAGCTAGCATTCATTGAGCTTACACTGAACTGTACTAAGCATTTATCATGTATTAATCCGTTTAATCCTTACAACCACTCTATGCGATAGGAACTATGTCCCCCTCAACCCCCGCCTCCTGCCACAAATGAAACTGAGACACAGAGAGGACAAGTAACCTGCCCAAGAGCACACAGCTGGCAATGGCAGAGCTGGGATTCATAACGGGGCTCTCTGCTCTTAACAAACACACTATACTACCTCTGCTGTAATAATGGACATCCTCTTCCCTTTTATCACTGTGGCAATAAAAATAAAATCAAAATTAAAATTTAGAGCCACAGAGTTTACTAAATCGACTAATATCAAAATCCACATCTTCAAAGGAACAAATTTGAAAGAATAACTTTTCTGTAAATACACTTACAGACTTCCAAGATTGCTCATTTGCACCAATTTCCCGAATCCTCTCTTTCACGGCTTCCTCCGTGGCTGGTACAGGGACAACACTGTTGCTCAGAAGACTAGCCAGCTGACCAAGGAACTTCTGATACTGGGATTGCACAGTTTTAGTTTCCCAGCTGAATAAATATGGAGGTCTATCTAACTCATATTTTTGTTTTTCCTTATGGATCAAATCTTGTTCATATTTATCCCAAATTTTCTGTCCATCTTTTGGTCCTTCAGAGTGAAAAATATCTTTCTCAAAGTTCTTGGCCAGGATAGCTTCATCCTTATCCTAAATATGCCAACATACATGTTAAACTTCCCATTTGGAATTTAATATTGAAACATTTACTGTCCTTCTTTTGAAATATAAATACAGTCATAATACAAAACTTTAAGAGAGAAGGCTCTCAATAGAACTTAAGAGTTATAGAGTCATAAGACCGACAAGAACATAATCAAAAGAGCAAACTAGAACATCAAGGGGTATTAAAATCATGGTATAGAGAAACTGTTTTGAGAGCATAGGAAATTTAGCTTAGGGAAGCAGCTAACCAAACCACCCCAGTTTATGGGGAAACTCTTTACAGAAAATTTGAGCTAATAAATGTGGAAGGAATGATAGAAATTTAAAAATCAGCATTTTACATCTCCTAATGAAATAGCTGATTCAGGCGAGGATCATCACTGAATGCTAAGACAAGTGAAAAGTTGGCAGGAAAATGGATATTTTCATAAAGGATTAATTATGGTTATAGAATATCGTTTACTAACAACAACTTAGATAATATAAAAGTATAAAAGAAAGAAGTCACATATCTTTCCCCCAACATTTCCCTTGTGCTCCTGTAATCATCCTGCTTCCATTGTAAACAGGAAAAAAAAAAAAAAAAAAAAAAAAGATAATGCTTGTACTTCTCCTTCCCCTCACTTCCTACAGGAAGATTCTACCTTTACTAATTCTAGCCTTCTTTCCCCCCTCAACTCTGGGAGCTGAGTAGACAAGCTCAGTTTCTGGGCTTTTTGTCCTGTGAAACTGGGAAATAGAAGGAGAACTATGGGTCTGCGTCACTAAAAACCTAGAAAGAAGAGGCAGACCAAGACAGCAATGGAAGAAAACGTCAGAGCTGCATGGACTCTGGTTTGGGAGAGTTTTTCAGAGACGTAACAGACTAGTGAGAGAAGTGAAAAGAATGGAAAGTGTTACTGTGAATTACTTGAGAGAGGCAATTAAAGATTGGAATTACTTTAAACGACTTTGAAAGTACATGTTGAATTTTTAAAAATGGAACCCCTCACATTAATTGGATCATGATGGACCCTGTTTTACATTCAGATTATATAATGAACAGTTATAGTCTAAGGATTTCAAAATAAACTTTCACCACTTCCTTGACAATAGTCTGTCTCCCATCCTCCTCCAACATTCCTCTATAAAACCTCTGCTCATCCTGTGAATTGCTGTCTACTTGGCACCAGACTCACCTCTTCCTTCTAAACCCAACTCACGCCATAATTCTAGATTTCAGTGTTCAATGTAGATGATCCACCAATTTAGCTTTGTGATTCCTGTGCTTCAGTTTCAATGACTTTCATCTACACCCCCTTCAATCCTTACATCCAGATCCGAAAACCCAGATTTTGTCAGCAGCAGGAACTAACCCATACCAGAAATTTGAAACTCCCAAATTTCACTCTCTAACCACCACCTCTCCTGCCAGCTCTCTCACAGCTCCCTTCCCTCTAATCTTTACTTCAGTATCCCAGAGACCCTCAGCTCCTCCTGGCACTTTTTCTCCATACCCCAGAAAGGCTTCCAGTCAACCATGCGGTACTGCTTCCTCTGATCCTCCACGAGGAGAGGACCAACAAACCACATTTGCCAATTATCTCCTGGAGTAACACAAGCTAATAAGAATCTTGTTTCTTCCAAAATCAATCAAAATTTATTCTTACCTTCATCTTGAAACTGTCCAAGGAATCCTCTTGTCCTTTTACATTCATATAAGGGATGAATTTGTTAGCACCTACTAACTTTTTCTCCAAAAGGTCTGCTTTTCGCTCTGCCTTTTCTCTTTCAACCAGATGTACTCTGTAAAATATCAGAAGGTAAAATTATCAGAATCAATTTTCAAACTTCAATTAAAATATAAAAAGAAGCATCCCCCATTTAAAATATATTAAATATGTGTATCAAATAAAAATGTATTTCTTTTGAAAAGAGCTGTGCAGTTCAACAATTTTTAGGGAGAGACTAGAACTGGCAGAGAAATGGAGAGAAAAACAATCCAGTATTAAGTCCTGTAGTAGTTCCCTTGGGGGAGGTCAATTTTGAAACTATTCTTTTCAAGGGGAAATTGGAGTATGACTGTCTTCCTGCGTGGACACAATTCCTTCCACGTGGACACAATTACTCGTGTGTGTGTATATATACATTTTTTTTTCTTTTTCTTTTTCTTTTTTTTTTTTTGCTGAAGAAGACTTGCCTTGAGCTAACATCTGTTTCCAATCCTCTTTTTTTGCTTGGGGAAGATTAGCCCTGAGCTAACATCTGTGCCAATCATCCTCTATTTTTTTGTATGTGGGACACCAACACAGCATGGCCAATGAGTAGAGTAGGTCCTCACCCGGGATCCGAACCCACGAACCTGGGCCACCGAAGTGGAGCGGGTGGAACTTTAACCACTTGGCCATGGTGCCGGGCCCACAAGTACTCCTATTTTAATAACACCTGAATGGGCTCTTCAACTGGGATTGAGTGAGGGGAAAAGGAATTAGAAATAATGATACAGCAATAGAGAACAGCATATGTAAAAACTTGTTTGATTATCAAAGATACAAATAGCTAATTATCTGGTTCTTGTTTTGATTACCAATTGCTAATTTTCTGTGTAAGTACTGCATCCTACAGAATAAGTGAATTTGAGTCAAGTCAAAAGAAGTTGTCTGAGTTATCTAAAGAGAAAATTTAATTCAAAAAATTATATTCGAGACATGTAGGACACACTCCAAAGGTCATACATACCTGTAATTGTAGCCCTAAAATGAGAGTAGAGACAGAATGGGACAGAAACAATATTTAAAAAAATAATTCCCAGTAATTATCCAAACCTGATAAAAGACATCAGTTGATAGACTCAAGAAGTTCTGCAAATCCTAAGCAGGCTAGATACAAAGAAAGCTACACCAGGACATATCCTAGTCAAATTATAAATAACAATATGGTAGACTTAAATCCAACAGTTTCAGTAATTAGAGATAGATGGTCTAAACCTTTCAATTAAAAGACAAGAGTATCAGATTGGATTTAAAAAAAAATAAAAGCTAATGCTAAGCATTTTACAGGAGATATACTTTAAGCATGACAGAAACATGCAATTTAAAAAAAAAGATAAGCCATGAGAACAGTAAAAAAATGTTAATGTGTAGCTGTGTTAAAATCAAAGTAGACTTTAAAGAAAGAAGTACATATAAGATAAAGAGGGACATTTCATAATAATAAAAGTGACAATTCAACAGAAAGATATAAAAATTCTAAATTAGAATGCAAATATTTCAAAATATATAAAGCAACAGTTGAACTAAAAGTGAGAGACACCAATCCGAAATCATAATTGAAGATTTTAACACGCCTTTTTCAGTAACCAAGGGAACAAAAGGAAAAAGTGCCGGGCCTGAAACTTTATTCCTAACTGCACTAACTGCAAAGAGAGAACAGCTAAAGGGGCCTAAGAACAATCCTTTGCCCAGAGTACCCTCCAGCGTCCACTCCATAGGCGCTGCTTCCAGTCTTCTCCTGCCTCAACACTAACAGGAAGATGAAAAAAAAATGTGTGGTATGCCATTCAGCCACCTTTCTCGCCTGCACCAAAGACAAAAACAAGCAAAAAGTCCATAGTGGCTCACTCTGTAGCTGTATTCAAAATTGCGTTGAAGACTGCAATGTGTGGGTAGCTGTTACGGGTCAAACTACAGACCAACTTCATGTGGTAGTCTATCACTGAGAAGATATTTATTTGGATGATAAATTGCTTTTAATCAGTTCTTCACTTGAACTTTGTCAATCTTCTTTTTTCAGACACTGCACAACCAGAAAAAAAAAGAAATCCCACTCTCCCTCTTGCTGGCCTTTGGTTTTAACTAATTCCTCAGTCTGAGTAGAGGTTTGCTTTCTTCCTTACTTTCAAGCTCCTATATATTTTCTTTTTAAAAGTGATTTGGGAAATGCAAGACTCAGAAGAAACTTCAACCTATCAGTTGAGCTGATACATACTAACCAATATAGAATACAAACAGGCTACGCCAGTATTCAAATCTAAATACAGTACTTTTCATATTGTGTGACTTTCTTAAATATTGTTAATATTATAAGAGGGAAAATCAATGACTTTTTTCCTCCTCCTATCAACCAAGGGCCCATGATCAAATATCTCCTCTCTTTGTATACCAACTAAATAACCACAAGTCTAAGAATAATGAATTGTATAAAAGACAAAACTGATCATCCCAATAGATGCAGAAAAAGTATTTGAAAAAATCCAATACACTTTCATGTTAAAACACTCAACAAACTAGGAATAGAAGGGAATTTCCTCAACCTGATAAAGGGCATCTACAAAAAACCCGTAGCTAACATCATAGTTAATAGTGAAACACTGAAATCTTTCCCGCTAAGATCAAGAACAAAACAAGGATGTCTGTTTCTTACCACTTCCATTCAACATTGTAATGGAAGTTTGAACCAAAGCAATTAGGCAAGAAAATAAATTAAAAGCATCCAGATTAGAAAGAAGTAAATCTCTTTGCTTATGACATGTCTTGTATAGAGAAAATCCTAAGGAATCCACAAAAAAACTATCAGAGCTAATAAACAAATTCAGCAAATCTGCAGGACACAAGATCGATATGCAAAGATCAATTATATTTCTACTCCCTAAAAATGAACAATCCAAAAATGAAATTAAGGAAACAGTTCCATTTCCAATGTATAAAAAAGGATAAAATACTTAGAAATAAATTTAACAAAAGAAATGTAAGATGTTTACACTGAAAACTAAAAAATATTGTTGAAAGAAATTAAAGACCTAAATAAATGGAAAGACATGCCATGTTCATGAATTGGAACACTTAATATTAAGATGGCAATACTCCCCAAACTGATCTACAAATTCAACACAATCCCTATCAAAATTCCAGCTTCCTTTTTTACGGAAATTGACAAGCTGATCTTAAAATTCATATGGAAAAGCAAGCTAAAAAATCTTGAAAAAGAAGAAAAAGTTGGAGGACTCACACTTCAAAACTTACTATAAAACTATAGTAATCAAGATGGAATAGTATTGGCATGAGTATGGACATATAAACCAATGGAATAGAAATGAGAGTGCAGAATTAAACTCATACATTTATGGTCAATTGATTTTTTTGCAAGATTGCCCAGACAACTCAATGGGAGAAAATAGTCTTTTCAACAAGTGGTGCTAGGATAACTAGTGGATCTTCAAATGCGAAAGAATGAATTTGGACCCCTAACTCACACCATATACAAAAATTAGTCAAAATGGATCAAAGACATAAATTTAAGTGCTAAAACCATAACACTTAAAAAAAAAAAGTGTAGGGCCCCCCCCTCCGCCGGTGGCATAGCAGTTAAGTGCGCATGCTCCGCTTCAGCGGCCCAGGGTTCGCAGGTTTGGATCCCTGGGGCACACTGACACACTGCTTATCAAGCCATGCTGTGGCAGCGTCCCATATAAAGTAGAGGAAGATGGGCACAGGTGTTAGCCCAGGGCCAATCTTCCTCGGCATAAAGAGGAGGATTGGCATTGTGTGTTAGCTCAGGGCTGATCTTCCTCACAAAAAAAGAAAAAAGAAAAGTGTAAACTCTTGTGACCCTGGATTAGGCAATCATTTCTTAAATATGACACTAAAGACAAGTGAAAAAAATAATAAATTTCATCAAAATTTAAAAGTTTTGTGCTTCAAAAGACACCATTAAGAAAGTGAAAAGACAACCCACAGATGGGAGAAGATATTTGGAAATCAAATATCTAATAAGAGATCAGTATCCAGAATATATAAAGAATACTTACTTAAATAATAATTAAAAAACCAATAAAAAACCAAAAAACCCCATTTAAAAATGGGCAAAGGAAAAAACTATTAAAACATCAATAAAAAATAAAAAAATAATAAATAAGGTAAAAAAAATAATGGGCAAAGGATTTGAATAGATACTTCTACACAGAAGATACACAAACGGCCAAAAACACATGAAAGGATGTTCATCTTTAATCATTATGGAAATACAAATTAAAATCATGAGATACGATTTCATATCCTCTAGAATGGTTATAATAAAAAAGATGAACAATAACAAGTGTTGGTGAGAATGTGGAGAAATTGGAACCCTCATGCATTGCTGGTGGGAATGTAAAATGGTATAACTGCCTTGGAAAACAGCCTAGAAGTTCCTCAAAAGTAACCTCAAATAGTTAAACATAGAGTTACTTTATGACCCAGCAATTCTACTCCTAAGGCATATACCTAAGAGAAATGAAACATACAGTTATATAAAAGCTCATACAAGAATGTTCATAGCAGCATTATTCATAAAGGCCCCTGCCCCCAAAAGAGGAAACAACCAATGTCCATCAACTGATGAATGGATAAAGAAAATGTGGTATTTCCATATAATGGAATATTTTTCAGCTATAAAAAGGAACGAGGTACAGATTTATGCAACATGGATGAATTTTGAAAACATCGTGCTAAGTGAAAGAAGTCAGACACAGAGGCCACGTATTGTATGACTGCATCTATATGAAATGTCCAGAAAAGGCAAGTCCATAGTGAAAGAAAGTAGATTGGTGGTTGTCAGAGACTGGAGAGGGCGTAAAGGGAAGTAACTGCTAATGGGCATGGGATATCTTTATGAGGTGATGAAAATGTTCTGGAATTAGACAGTGGTGATGATTGCACAAACTTGTGAATATACTAAAAACTACTGAACTGTACTCTTTAAAAGGGTAAATTTTAATGGTATGTGAATTATATCTCAAAAATGTGTTTTTAAAATATAATAATTTTGAGTCAAGTATTAGGTGAAATTCTACTAGATTTAAATTCTGTGATCAATCAGGAATATGGAGTTCATATACTACTCACAAGCTTATAACAAACGGCTAGTTTTAAAAGAAACTAGAAAATTCCCTACCTTAATCGGTTTTCTAGCTCTAAAATTCTTTCAGTTAGATCCCAGTTGCCTCTTTCAAGACTCTGAATATTGGTGTTTTTCAAAGATTTAATTCTGGTTAGAGAAGCAATAAGTTCCTGTAGGTCCTTGATATCATCTTTCAGGGACATTATCTGGAATGACTGTTGCACATTATTTTCTTTGTAACTTTCTAGCTCACTCTTCATCTCTTGCAATGAAGTTTCTTTTATGAAAAGTTTGTTTTGAAGATTTCTTAGCTAATGAGAAAGGGAAAGTGTTACTTAAAATCATTTATAATTTTGGTTTTAGAAAATTCATGATTTTAAATGATTATTGGTAATTAAGTTATACATTATTATACAATAAAATGCAACCTTTCCAATCTCCTAACAGTATATTCCAATGTTAAATACATTTTAAAAATCATATCAAATTGACACATAGGGTTTGGAATAAGTGATTTTATTCTCATCAACATTAAAGTTGTTTAAATCTTGTTACAAAAGTAAACTATACCAATAATGAATTCTGTAATTCCTAGCAGAAAAGAAATACTTGATGCTTTGGCCATAGACATTTTGCCTCACGATGTGTTGCAAAGGGGAGTGTGTTCACAGGCTTCTCTTCTAAAGATCAGCCTATGGGTATACCACGTGGTGGTTCCTGGCTGTATTTGTGCTCATTAGAGAAATCGGTAGAGAGGGGAATTAGGAGAAAGAGCGAGGATCAAACTGATTATATATATTTTTAAGGTAAATAAAGGAAAGAAGAGATCATAAAGTTATGAAGAGAAGCAAGGCTGATGGCTTGTGAGAGGCGAGCGATACAAGAGAGGCGCCACAGGCTGCTACTGGAGGAAGAGACGAAAGGATTGCAGAGAAGGAGTGCAGCTGCGGTGAGGTGAGTGGTTTATTTATCTTTGGGTAGCATTTAAAAATTCTCTGCTCTTCTGTCTGATACATGAAGTTCACTAGATGAAGAAAATTGAGGTATTGCTAACATTGGGGGGGCAATTAAATTTTAACTTTTAATCTAATTTGTTCAAATTTCTCAATAGGTTGTGTATGATCTGCATGAACTAGTAAGAGAGTAAGAAAAAAAAGGTAAATTTGATTTGACATTGTAAAAGATCATTAGCTTTATGACCAGAAAAATGTCAGGAATATTTTGTTATTGAAAAAAATTGCATTAATTAGAAATGCTATAATTCTTAGCAGCAAAGGCAGTATGAAGATCAAGCATTTTAAACTAAATTTCTAGTCCAGTATGTGCATAAGGTGTTTTTTTCTGTCTAAAAAGTTCTGTGAAATTAAAACAATGAAATGAACCTTATATGTTCTCAAAACATACCTTTATACATATATTTTTTATTACATTGCCTATAAAAACACACACCTCAATTAAGCCACAGAGTTTACAGAGAATGCAAGTATGGAATAGTGGAAAGACCTCAAATTTTGGAGGAACAAGACAGACTGTGGTCATAGACAAATCAGTTAAATTTTCTTACCCACCTTATATTGTGATTGTAAGGAATAAAAATAACATATAGCAAGGGCCTAGCATAGTGTCTGGCACATATTAAAATATAAGTATATACTAAATTATAAATATGCACTAAATTGCTGGTGTACACTAAATCAAAGTTTGTGCTTCCTTGGAACTTGAAATTAAGTCATCCAAAAAGTACTCCACAAAATCCCTAATTAGCTGCAGAAGCGACTAAGCTATCTGAAATGGAGCAGGGGTAGAGGGCGCAGATAAGGTTGTGAAGGTGAAGTGAAAGATTTGAGCTCAAACCCATTTCTCCTCTTCGTTGCCTAGCCACACTGAAGGTAAGAAGCAACTGTGCTCATTCTTCATCCACTATAATTTTATTATTATTCCACCTCTCGTTCCTTATGCCTCACCATGCAAACTCTTCTCTCAAAAGTCACCAACAATCTCTTAATTGTCAGGTTCAACAATTTCTTTTCAGTTGTCATCATATTCCACGTGTCACTGAAGCTTTTGACACCATTGCCCATGCTCTTTTGCCGGATATGATCATTGGCACTTGCTATCCATTCCTACCCCTGTGATGTCTTCTTGTTCCACAGAACTAGAAATAAAACTGTTATTTTCCAGACTCCCTTGTGGAGGCTGGGATTCTCTAGGCCAGTGGTTCTCAAACTGTAGCATGCATCAGAATCGCCTGGAGAGCTTGTTGAAAAACAGATTGCTGGGCCTACCCTCAGAGGTTCTAGTTTGACCTAGGGCCTGAGAATCTGTATTTCTATCAAGTTCCCAGGTGATGTTAACATTGCTGGTCTGGGGAACTACACTTTGAGAGCCAGGCTATATGCAAATCGAGCTGCACCAAAGAGATGCAGTCCCATGAAATTTAAACTGGAGGAGAAGAGGCCATCTTCCCGCTGCTATTTCTGCTGGTAAGCAAGGTCAAGGAAGGGGCCAGAAAAAACATTCCATTACCTAGTTACCAGCTTTGTGGAGGTTGAGAGGGAGCCTTGGCTGTGCAATAAAGGCTCAACGGCAGGAGCAGCAACTTCCAGACCTTAGGCTCTCATCTAAATGGTGTGTCCTTGAACTCGTTCATCCAGTGCTGGCCCTGACCCCCACACCCAGACCTTCCAATCATTTCGTATATACATCTTCTCTTCTGTTTGAAATACTTAGAGTGGTTTCTGCTTTCTGCAGTGACTCCAGGACTGATCCGCCCCATCACAACTTTCCCTCCTTGGCTTTCACAGAACTGGCAGTCTCTTTTTTCTCTCCCTTCCTGATTACTTCTTTCCCGTCTTCTACCATGGTTCTTTTTCTCTTACATGGAGGCATTCCCAGTGCCAGTATTAAGGAACAGTGCTAAACTGGATATAACAGATCCTATATTGTTGGCTTATTTCTTTAAATGACCATAAGAGATGAAAATGTGGTTTAAAAGAAAACTGCGTCTTACAGTTTGGAAGCCAGATGAAGCTTCCCAGGGTGAAGAAGAGTCTTTGGAATTCAATGAACACTTCATGGCCAGCCCCATAGTCTCCAGGGTTGCATTGACTTCATCCTTTAGAGTGCCTTTTAATTCCATTGCCAGCACAGACCAATCTTCTTTTTAAAATATTGCTCCATTTCTCCCAAAATATGCATATTAAAAGCTGGTCTATAGTCTTGACCCTTAAGCAACTCTCTCATAAGATAAATACAACCTTCCTACATCTAGGAAATGGAAATGGTAAATGGCTTATAGTGTGAAGTTGGGTTTTTTAGAACATTCTGGCAAAATTCTGAAGAGAAATTAGTTTTGCAGGCTGAAGTAGTGAGGACAGGGGTCCTTAAAAAAGCAGTTACAGTGTCACTAAACTAACTCTTCTTAGAATGGAATATAACCATTAGTGAAATAATGAATTTAGCAAATTCTACCTGGAGAAAAGGAGTGATTAGTTAAGAGAACTCACCATCACTGGTTGATAGTAAAATGCTTTAAATTTTTTTAACTTGTGCTAAACTCTTTTACTTCAGATTTTTTCCCCTTTTCTACTTTTCCCCCAAGTGAAAATTTTGACTCCTTTTGTTAGCAGTTGTAAAGGAGCTCTTCTTTCACAGCATTTCTTGAGCACTTCTCTCCTCCCCTCCAGGCATTCATGTGTTGGTTTCTGCTTACTACCAAAATATGTGATTTCTTCCTCCTTAAGTCTGCGTATTGCAAATCAGATCCTGTTTTAAGACCTATTTATTTAATCATAAATTAATTTACTTAGAATATGGGTTAAATATTCTATGAAAGATCCATTTAGAAAATACCTTTTAATAACAACACCAAATGTTTAAAAAAATGTAAAGTTTAAAATTCACTTATATTTTTGTAAAAACACGTTAATTAGATCACAGTCTTTTTTTTTTGGCTGAGGAAGATTCACCCTGAGCTAACATCTGTTGCTAATCTTCCTCTTTTTTTTCACTTGAGGAAGATTAGCCCTGAGCTGACATCTGTGCCAGTCTTCCTCCATTTTGTATGTCACCTCCACAGCACAGCTGACGAATGGGGTAGGTCCACACCTGGGATCTGAACCTGCAAACCCAGGCTGCTGAAGCAGAGCGCGCTGAACTCAACCACTACGCCACGGGACCAGCCCCCAGAGTCATTTTTCTTTTTTCTTTTTTTTTTTTTTTTTAGATTTTTTTAATTTATTTTTCCCCCAAAGCCCCAGTACATAGTTGTCTGTCATAGCTGCACATCCTTCTAGTTGCTGTATGTGGGACGCGGCCTCAGCATGGCTGGAGGAGTGGTGCCTCGGTGCGCACCCGGGATCCGAACCAGGGTCGCCGGCAGCTGAGCGCACGCACTTAACCGCTAAGCCACGGGGCCGGCCCGTCCCAGAGTCATTTTTGAGTCACCCTTTTTTTTAATCCTCCCCCTCAAGTCACTAAGTCTGCTAATTTTACCTCTAATATGTGACAGGGTTCAGGGCAGGCAGCCCCAAGATGTGCCACTCTGGTATGCGGATTATTTCCAGCTGGAGACAATAAAGGCTCAGAAGACTCTGAAAGAAACTTTGACCACCCCCCCCACCAACTAACTGCCTAAAAGGATTTAAGATAGAAGGCCTGTCCCCAGGACAGGCCATCACCATAGATAACTCTGGGTATGGATAGACTGGGAGGGTCCTTGCTAAGCCCATTCTTATCAAAGTTCTATTTATCAAACATTTACATTTGTAAGGGAAATCTCTATTTGTAGAGGTATTTCCCTTTCTGTACTGGGAAGAAGGGGGGATGACCTCATCTCTAGAAACTTGTCAGTGCAGAGGGGAAGGCCTTAAATCTGTATAATAACCTTACTCTTGTTTACTGTGCTTTTCTGGTAGTGTCCCATAGCTGACTACCCCCCAACTCCAACATCCTCTATTTAAGATGAGAACCTCTGCCATTTTGTCAAGATACTCAGTTTCCCTAGGTCTCTCCCATGTATACATGTTATAAAGCTTTGTTTGATTTTCTCCTGCTATTCAGTCTCATGTCAATTTAATTTGTAGCCCAGCCAGAAAGGACCCAGAGTGGGTAGAGGATAGTCTTCCTCCCCTTCATATATCTCTCATATCTACCCTTTTATTCTTATGCCTGCTGCCTCTGTCTTGTTTCAGGGCCTCATTGTGCATCTCATGTACTTTTTGTTACAAGACCTCCTATTTGGTCTTCCTGCCTCCAACCTAGCATTTCTCTGAGCCATTCTTTATTTGATCAACAAGCCTTTAGTGTCCTC